AACCCCGTAGTCTAGCTCACCACCTTTGTAGAGTAATTCTCCACAGTGTCGTCCCTCTCAACCATATGAGCTCGTAGCTTCTTCAAGTACTGGCTCCCTTGCTTCCCTTGCATCGCCTTGAGGTCGTCCTTCGTGTTCCAACGAGCGGCCGCGAGTGATGTCAGCTCTGCGTCCAACCACACTCGCTTGTTGCGCTTCGCCGGCGGGCGCTTCTCCTTCTTCGATCGACGTGTGCTGCGGTCGTCACCGCTTCCTACTTCGGCACCGTCCGAATCTTCCTCTTCGTCGTCACTGCCGGCCTTGTAGTTGTCGGAATCGGCATCACTGTCCGATTCCGACACGATCTCCTCAAGATCGTCGTTGCTGACGTCCGTGTCGCCCCCAGTTTCGTCGTCGTCGTGCCCAGGACCGCTGCTAGTGCTGGCGCCAGCAGAGTCGCGCTTTGTCTTTGCAATACGCTTGATGGAAGGGGACGGCTTCCCCTGCTTTTGCTGCTCCTTCATCCATGCGACATACGGGGGGTCTTCCATCGGTTCATCGTCGCTAAGTTTCTCCTTTCCCTTGCTGCGTGCGCTTCGACGTGGAGGCATTGCTAAAAACGTAGATAGCGGGCTGGTTTGGAAGCTCGGGAAGACTTGTGAGGGAGATCTGTTTGCTCATGCTTGTGCTGATTGCCCAACTGCTGGAAACCCTTGCGTGGGGAAGTTGCAAGAGGGGTGTTTGGTTGGGTTGGGATCTGGAGCCGCACAGATCTGCATGTAACTCTACCCACCGGGAATTTTGACGGAGTTGAGGGTGGGGTGAGTGTCGCTCAACCAGATGAAGGAGTTCGTGTATCATGGAATGGCGCGTCTCAATTGGATGCGACTGTCGTGGGGCCTGAATTTTAGGCGGGAAAACCCACGCGCCAGTTTGGGGGTCGCATGAAGGCATTGGATCCAAAGTGGTGTTTTGTGTTGCTTGAGTCATCCGCAAAATGCGGATGCCCGGAACAGTGCCCATGACCGGAACCAAAGATACGCCCTTACTCGTTTCAATGTCGGTATCTTCTACGGTATCTCAATGTATAAAGTTGGTTTTAACGCCGTGAGACTATGTCTTGTGGCCGAACCAAATTAGAATATCGATAAATAATAATAATGCTGCATGAATTGCCGGGCATCAGTCCCGCTATGCACCATGATGCATTGCTGAACGGGGGATACTTGAGCAAACATGTGTTTGCACCGCGCGAACATTTTGGGCCAAGCTCATGCGCTTTTTGCCTCGGTGAAGGACCAAAGCAGAGGCAAATACCCAGAGAGGTGATGATTGCTGGTAGTAAGTCCCCACCCACAGATGATCCTGAAGTGGCCCTGTCAAGATAGATGGGACTTCCGAAGGATGAGGTTGCGGAATCAATCCCCAGAGTCGGCGAGTTCCGCCAGCCCCCCAGAAAGGGGTTTCACACTGCTCATCTGGAAGTGGATATATCCTTACCTCGATACTCAGTGAGGCGTGTAACCAGGTGGGTAGGCAGATTACGATCGACGGCTGGGGGTAACCCAAAAAGGGTTCTCCCCCCTCCTTTACCTTTACCCCACCCACAGATGGTTATGGTTTGAGACGGCAACGATGGCATACGCCTCTAGCAGGGAAATAAGAGGGTGAGAAATTTTTGTTGCTCTAAATGAGTTACTGAAAAGAGAAGGATGAAAGCCTATTGAATATTATTATAATGTAGTATTATACATTCATAAGATTATACCAGTAGTAAATGCAGTTGAGAAGCTGTGCTCATTATTCAGCGAATCCCACAATAGCGACACATCGAAATGAGAATGACTTCTGTCAGAATTTACAGCAGCCGTCGAATCCGAAATCCTCGCTCTGAATTTGATCCAACATCCCATCCCACCCTCCTCCCCTTACTGACAAAAAGCCGCGTCGGGTAGATTGTGTTGCTTCTTACGCCCAAGCGCCTGAAACTGGAACCAGGATTTTTGTTGTGAAGGCCACTTCATCGCCTTCCATCGACTCGCACGATTCACCACTCTCAGACTGCGGCTTCGAGTCAGACTGCTCCGACTCCCTCACGATCAGTCGCTTGATGAACGGCGGGAAGAACGGCCACAGTCGCTGCTGCAGCTCAAGCAGCTGCCAGTCGTCACATGTGACCACCCCACGGCAGATCGACGCGCCGCAGTGGCAACTGAAGTTGTCACTGCTGGTGCGGACGACGCCTGCGTTGGTGCTCCCGTAGTCGATGCTCAACTCTTCGCCTTGCACGATGTCCCGCAAGGCCACCACCGTCACCGAGTCTTCCAATCCGCAGTTTGGGTCGCACGAGTGGTTGATAAAGTCGGGCGTCTCGGGCCCACGCGTCGGATGCGGCACCTGCCAGAGGTGATCGTTGACACGCAGCGAGAGCTCTCGCGTGCGCTCGTCGCTTCCCAGCAGGTAGTCGAGGCCGACAAGCTTGCCGGCGAAGACGAGAAGCGGTTCGCCACGTCGGACGCTCGCCAATGCGAACATCCCCTTGAAGCCGTCCGCGCCGCCTTTGTAGCGAGGAACCACGCGCGGGTCGTACCACCCCGACTCGGCCATCTTCCGCTCGATATAAGCCGAGCAGTGGCCGGCGAACCGCCGCTGCCAGTCGTGCGAGCGCCACTCGGTGAATGTGAGCGTGTCACGGCAGCACGCGGCGCCGCAGCGGCAGTGCAGGCCGGCATGCATGCTACCCTCCGTCTCCGTGCAGGCGTAGTCGTACGTGACGTGCTCACCCGGGTGAATGTCGCGCAGAGCGACCATGCAAGTAGCGGTAGCGTACCACGTGTTGGGGTCGCACGAGTGGTTGTAATAAAAGCTCGGATCTTCGTCGGGGTCAGTTATCGTGTCGTACATGTCGTCACCGACCATGTACGAAAAGTGAATCATCATTTCGCGCTTCTTTTGATCGGGTTCCGCTGATAAGTCACGAGCGTGGTACACTCGCCGCGCAGCGGCCTCTTCTTCGTCCCAATCGCAAACGACCTCGCCTTGTGCGATAAAGCTGCGCGCGAACAGCCCGCAGCATCGGAAACCGTAGAGCTGGTGCTCCTTCACGACGATGTGCGGGTGGAGACCCATGATGGAGGAGCGAGAACGGTTGGAGGATGAGTGTGTGTGAAGCGTGCAGTCTGATGATGCGAGGAAATGGTGCGCTGAATTAGTTCTATCATTGCTTGAAAGTTGAGACTGATCCAAAACGCCGTGAGATGCTGTCTTTATGGATTCTAGGGGAATTGGTGTGGAGGCGCGATACACTGAACGAAGGCAGAGGCCCTCAAGGTGAGGTTAAGGAACTGTAAGTCAATCACCCACCAAAAATCGTTCGCGTTCCACACGAAAGTCGGCCCCATTCGCCCAACGAAATGCTGAGGCCTCGAGGTGAGGTGATGGAATCGGAGGCCAATCACCCACCTAGTATGATCGCATTCCAGACGAAGATCGCTTCCATCCGCCCAGAACGAAGGCGGAGGCTCGTCGATGTGAGGTGATGGAATTGGAAGCACATCACCCCACCTAGTATGATCACGTTCCAGACGATGATCGCCCCCCAAAGGCAGAGGCTCCTCAAGGTGAGGTGAATTGGAAGTCGAATCTGGTGATAGACTTCTGATTCCATCTGGTACGTTTCTTGTACATTATTTGCGGTCTAATCTGTTTTGTCACGGTGCAAAACGGTGTAAGAGAAAACTTCTGACACCGTATCTAACCGTTTTAAAAGCGGTTAGAAACGTACGAGTTGCAATTTCCCTACCATTGTTATGCTCCAGTGATGATATGCATGCATGCTTGGCGGATGGTCAATTGTCTTGGGCGAAGAATGACGTTCGCAACAATCGTAAATTGTCGTGGGAGTTGATCGCACGGTTTGCAGCCTAGGCGTACAACTCATCCATTCGTTGCCACACCAGACATTCGATAATACCCATCGCCTGGAACGCGATCATGTGTGCGTGGAAGAACCCTGAAACGGGAACACCGAATGAGTGATTGACGTGTGGCAACTTCCGCCAAGGCAGAGCATCAGCGGGAAGCCTATTTCTGAGAATTCAACACGGAGCGTAGGATTTCTCGATCCGACGGTAAAGATGAAAATCGAAAATCGAGTCATCTCCGCATCTCACGCTTTGTGAGAGTGGAATCGCGTTGCGACCAATACCGTTCCACAGTGTACATTCCCCATGGGCAACACATGGATTTGAATCTCTCATGGTCAGCCAGGGGGCTGAAACTTGAACCTGTGACTACCCTGGACACTCTAGCTGCTGCTGCTGCCAGCCAGCTCATTTCCTCTCGAACAATTGAATCAACCAAGCTCTCTTCTTCACGAAGTGCGTGACAAAAGAATCTCACGCATCAGCCCCTTTTCTCGTCTCGGTAGCTTATCGATTCAACACGATGATCCGAGCAATCCTGGCTATAATACACGGAGGAGCGAACCATAGCGTGAAAGATTGACTGAGAAAGACGATAGCCAGAAAGGAGTCTAACAGAACAGATACCGCTACTCACCAACTATTGGACAACCAGACGCGTGCGAGTTATTTCTATCCAAAGCAGGGGGGGGAGACCCAGTTCAGTCGAACGGGCGAACAGACCGATGGAATAACAAACTGACAGTAAAAGCAAGCAGGAAATTCCGTCGTAGGCAGCCAAGCGACACGAAAGCAACAGATTTTACCTGTCGACAGCGACAGTTGAGGCGGGTCGAGGTGCCAGCAGCACCCCAGTCCGACCAGTGTCTCCGAAGTTGCGATTCAATGGACGGAGGCGAGATGATGATATCCCTGGATCTGGTTCAGCCGCAGCAGAAGCAGCAGCGAACTGGCAATCCTGTGGCCGCTGATCGGAGTGTCAGCGAGACGCGTTACTACTCTGACGATGCGACAATTACCGGCGACATTTGCGACAAGGAGGAAGGACGGTTGCTGCTCGCAGGGGCGTGCGACAGTCGCGAGGATGGCGGAGCATCGATGCGACGATCGGCGGCAGAAGCGACGGCCACGGGTGATGGCCACGGCACCAGCAGCGGTTCTGCTTCTGCTACTGGTTGTGGTGATGCTGATGATTTCGGGGAGGTGGAAGAAGGCGAGGGGGACGATGGAGAGCCGAGCCTATGGTCGGCATTGGCGTTTGCATGGGTGAGCGCGCTGCCTGCTTGGCTGGCTGGTTGTTTGGTTCCATCCAAGTAACTATCTCTCTTCCTTGCTTCCTTCGGCGTAGCGCGACTCAGGTTGCGCGACTCGTCCTAGGGAGCTTAGGTTGCGTGTGCGCGACTCAATTTTCTTGCCTCTCAACTCCATTCCCCCCCTTTCCCCCTAATCAATGCTGCGCGCAGGTGAGTCCGATAGTGCGCATGGGCGCGCGCAGAGCGCTGCAGCTGGCGGACCTACCCCCGCCCCCCCGCACCTGTCGCGCGGAATGGCTGGACGCGCAAACGGCGCGCTTGCAAGGGGAGGGGCGGAAGGAGGAGGAGCTTTGGGAAGGGGGGCAGGCGGAAAAGCGGGGGGAAAGGAGAAGCGGTCAGTCCGTGGTGTCGGGCGGATGGCGGGATGATTGCCCCGAGGGTGCGGTGGCCCGCGCTGGTGGGATGGATGGTGCGGTGAGGCATCTCAGAACTCGGGCGGATGGGGGGATGGTTGCCCCCAGGGGCCCGCGATGGTATCGTGCGGTGGCCCGCATTGGTCGGCTGTGGGCGGGGGGCAGGCGGAAGTGGCCGTTGTGGGCGGCTCTGTATTGGCCGCACCGGTGGCAGCTGCTGCTTCTTGCAGTGCTGTTTCTAGGGGAATCGATGCTTCAAGTAGGCAAAGCCGTGCTGCTGTATCAAATGGTGAGTGCCGAAGGTGGAAAAAACGCGTTTCGCGTTTAGCATACGTCATACGCCTCCCGGAAGGGGATCTGGTATGCACCGAATGCGCAGGCCCCGGCAGGTTACAAGGTTGGGTGTTGGGTTCAAAGACGGGCGAGGTGCTAAGCACCCCAAACAATTGTCCCCTTTTTTGTTAAAAAACCCTTTGCGGAACTACCGCGCGCATCTGCAGCCGGGAGGGAGGAAGTTGTTGCTGCGGGAGTGGAGGACATGGTGGCGGGTCAGTTAGGAAGGGGAGAAGACGAGAGGATGATTATCGAATGAACAGAAGGCTTGGTATTATGCTCGGAAAGTGGAGTCTGGTTGGAGACTCAACCACTGGACAACACAACGGAGGGAATCGGGAATGGATGGGGGTGGAGAGGGCTGTCAAGCGGTGGAGGGGAGGGGATGACGGGCATCGAGTTTGAATTCCAAATTTGAGGTTGAAATCGCGATGTGCGAGACTCACAATTGAGTTCGCCACGTCCCAGCTAGCCTGTGCGTATTTGAGCGTATCTACACCCAAATCGCAAATTGTGTAGGCGTATAAACGCTATACACATTTACATGCTTACTTTCCAACTTAGTTGAGGGCTGCTGTATCACATGGTGAGAGCACAATGCACCAGTGAGTGAAAAGTTGGCGTTTGCGTGCATGCATGCATGAGTGTGTGCAAATGATCACGTGAACACAGAGTTTCTTACACTTCATCATTCTCATAACCATACCCCTCCCCCACTCCCCCTCACTCTCCATCAATGGCCCCCCTTCCCCCTCCCCCTCCACCAGATCGCCTACCTTGAAGCGTGTGGCAGCAGCAGCAGTGTGGCAGGGCAACCCGCGCCCACGGAGGGTTACGTCATGGCAGCGGGGCTGGGCGCAGTGGCAGTGGTGATGGCCGTAGTGAGCCAGCAATTGAGCTACCGATCATATGTTGTCTCCACCAACACACACACCGCCGCCATCAGCGCAGGTGGGTGAGAAGAGGGAGTGGTGCCTAAACCCTTGCGGCGCCTCAAAAGTCAGTGGCGGTGGTGCTGACCGTGGTGAGCCAGCAGCTGTGCTACCGCTCATATGTTGTTTCCACCAACACACACACCGTCGCCATCAGCGCAGGTGAAGAGAGTGAGCTTTTGAGGCGCCTCAAAAGTCAGTGGCGGCGGTGCTGACTGTGGTGAGCCAGCAATTGAGCTACCGCTAATACGTCGTCTCCACCAACACACACGCCGCCACCATCAGTGCGGGTGAGGTGAGAGTGAGCTTTTGAGGCGCCTCAAAAGTCAGTGGCAGCGGTGCTGGCCGTGGTGAGCCATCAATTGAGCTACCGCTAATACGTCGTCTCCACCAACACACACGCCGCCACCATCAGTGCGGGTGAGGTGAGAGTGGGGCAGTGGGCAGGCAGGCCGTCAGCGTCAGCTTCAAAAGCACTTGTTGTCGTCTTGAGTCCTACAGCTTTCCGCTCGCAGCCCACGCTCCCAGTCTCAGCCATCCAGTTCGGGAAGAATGCCTCTGTTCCCCCAACTTTCCTCCCCGCCCACTTCCACTTCCTCCCCTCCCACACCCTCCCTCTCCCTTTCAGTGCATCGCCACATCCTCTCAGAAGAAAATGTGTGTGTCAGTAAACCAGCTGAGCTTTGATTCGTCTTGAAAATCAACGCGGTCTTCCTCCCTTCCCACACCCATCCTCTCCCCGTCAGTGCACCGTCACCTCCTCTCCCTCACCGCCAGCGCGCTGAGCCACGTCAGCAGCGGGCACTGCATCAATCTGCTGTCCAATGACGTGCGCCGATTGGAAGACTTGGTGTTTTTTGGCAACGCGCTCTGGGTGGTGAGGTCAAGGGGACGGTGGGGTGGGGTGCCAGGTGGGGGATGGGAGGACGGGGATGACGGATGGGGGATGCCGGATGGGGGATGCCGGATGGGGGATGACGGATGGGGGATGCCGGATGGGGGATGACGGATGGGGGATGCCGGATGGGGGATGACGGATGGGGGGACAGGGGATGACGCTTGGGGGGACAGGGGCAATAGAGGGAAGGGCTTGTGGAATGAAGAGATATGGAGTTGGGGACTGTGGTGGTGGGGGAGAAGAGGGAGTGGATGGGAAGAAGGCCAAGAGCAATTGTCCTACCCACCCGCATAAGGTTGCCATCCTCTTTTTGTGATTGACTGCCTTCGTCCGCTTGATGCATTCTCCACGTTCCTGCGGGTGTTCTCCTGTGGCTGCTTCTCTTGCTACCCTGTTTCCGTTATTCAGGCCCCGATTGAGCTTGCGATGGTCACGTGGCTGATAGCGAGGGAGATCGGATGGGTGCCCACCGTCGCTGGCATCGGCACGCAACTGCTGCTGCTTCCACTACAGGTGCGTGGTTTGACACTTGGCTATGATTGACCTTGTGGTTGTCACGTGGCTGATATTGAGGGAGATCGATCGGACAGGTGTCCACCATTGCTAGCATCGCCACACAACTGGTGCATGCCTCGTCACTTCGTTTTCGGCGGAGAGACTGAGAGAGAGATAGCTTAACTTAGAGCCTTATCAGCTCTCTTCCCTCTGCCCTTTGCACTCTGCAATGGGTACTTAAGGCCCCGAAGCCCTTCCAAGAGCTCATTCTTCGACTCATACTTCACTGTTTTCTCAAGATCATTCCGGTTACTCCGTCCACTCCCATTGTGCGTTTCATTCCCCCCCACCATATAACCACACTTTTCCCCCACCAAATAACCGCACAACAACTGGCGTGCGGGCGTTGTGCTCTGCCCCCCCAAAGTCGTCCCCCGTCTGCCCTCCATGCGTCAATCCCTCCATCCCCCTTATGTGCTTCACTCTTTCCTCCATCCACTTATGTGCTTCACTCTTTCCTCCGAAACAACTGAACAACAGCAGCTGGCATGTGGGAAGTGGGGGGTGCGGCTGCGAGAGCAAACAGCGGAGGCCACTGATGCACGCGTCAAGCACACGGAAGAGGTGGGCGGTTAGGGAGGGAGGAGGTGGGTGGGTACAATTTCTAGGACGGCGAAAACAGCGGAGGCCACGGATACACGTGTCAAGCACACGGAGGAGGTTGGTGTTTAAGGAGGGAGGAGAGGGGAGAGCGGAAAGAGAGGGGTTGGGTGGGAGATGGGAAGTGAGGGGTTGGATGGGGAAGGGGAGGGTTGGATGGGGGAACGGAGAGGTTGGGTGAGGGAGGTGAAGAGAGGGGTTGGATGGGGGGGGGGGGGGGGGGGGAGAAGAGAGGGGTTGGGTTGGGGAGGGGAAACTTGAAGGAGGCAACGGTAGGGGCCAAGGGTTGGGGGATGGGAGCCCATTGTGGAGGTGGGAAGAAAGGGGAGGACGTCGATAGAGGGTCAAAAACAGCTGTCGGAGCTGTCGAAGTGGAACAGGTGGGCTGTCGGAGCTGTCGAAGTGGAACAGGTGGGCTGTCGGAGCTGTCGGAGACGGAGTGAATGTTTTGCGGTGTTGCAGTGTTGCGGTGCGGGGAACGTAGGCGAGTGGCGAGAGTAAGACGGGTGGAATGTGGGAAAGAGAGGGGCAAGAAGGGAGCAGGAGAGGAAGGTATAACACTCACAGTGTGTCAATGAAATTGCACTATGGCATGGCATATTCATGGCCTCTCAGGTGCTTGCCTTGCCTTTTCCATCCTAGCATCCTTCAGCTCCTGTCCCCTCTCACCGTTGGCCTAGTCAACCACTGACTGGGTTAGAAGGGCACGTTTGTTTGGTGGGTAAGCACACCCACCCAGGCTGCACTCAACAACCTTACCCTCACTAGGGGCTCGTTAGGGCAATTGGCGCCCATTGGCGCTTATTGAGACTCGAACTCGAGACCTTAGGCACAGATACCACTTGTTGGCCCAGCTTGTTACCTACTGAGCTAGAAGGGCATGATTGTTTGGTCGGTAGCACACTCAACTCGTGAACCCCTCAGGCCACACCTGTGATCCGTCCACACTCAACTGGTGAACAATTCCAGTGCCCCTTCAACATCACCCACCCACCCACCTACCCATCTGTCACTCCACAACAGGCTCTGGGCGGCATCCTGACTGTGAAGATACTGGCATTGGAGCGGGTTTTCACGGCAATCATCGAACGACTCAGGCGGACAGAAGTGTCCTTGTGAGTCAATCCCTTCAGCTCCCACCACTGTTCTCTGCCTCCTTCCCTTCCCGCCCCTCTCTTCCCACATTTTACTCATCTGATCACTCCAGCTACATGCATTCATGCATTCCATCCCTACAGAATCAGCATTCGCTCCTTCCGTCCACCACCCTGCTGCCCTCCATCTTCCCCCTTCGCCATCCAGCCTGCAGTGCACAGCCACCATCAACGCCGTCTTCTTTTCCTTCACATCAGCGATTGCTTCTGGGCCGAGTAGAAAATCGCCTAAAAAATCCCCTCCATCTTCCCTTCCTCTCCAGCCTGCAGAGCACCGCTGCCATCAACGCCGTGACGGATGCCCTTTACTTCTCCTTCACCTCCGTGGTCGCCCTCGTCACCTTCGCCACCTTCACGTGCCTCGGAGGGCACCTCACCGCCTCCTCCGTGTTCTACGTGCTCACGCTGCTCGAGGTGCGTGCTTCCTTGTTTTCTGGTACCGCTGTTCTTCAGGCACCTCATAAACACCCTCATGTGCCTCGGAGGGCACCTCACCGCCTCCTCCGTGTTCTACGTGCTCACGCTGCTTGAGGTGCGTGCTTCCTTGTTTTCTGGTACCGCTGTTCTTCAGGCACCTCATAAACACCCTCATGTGCCTCGGAGGGCACCTCACCGCCTCCTCCATGTTCTACGTGCTCACGCTGCTTGAGGTGCGTGCTTCCTTGTTTTCTGGTACCGCTGTTCTTCAGGCACCTCATAAACACCCTCATATGCCTCGGAGGGCACCTCACCGCCTCCTCCGTGTTCTACGTGCTCACGCTGCTCGAGGTGCGTGCTTCCTTGTTTTCTGGTACCGCTGTTCTTCAGGCACCTCATAAACACCCTCATGTGCCTCGGAGGGCACCTCAGCGCCTCCTCCGTGTTCTACGTGCTCACGCTGCTCGAGGTGCGTGCTTCCTTGTTTTCTGGTACCGCTGTTCTTCAGGCACCTCATAAACACCCTCATGTGCCTCGGAGGGCACCTCACCGCCTCCTCCGTGTTCTACGTGCTCACACTGCTCGAGGTGCGTGCTTCCTTGTTTTCTGGTACCGCTGTTCTTCAGGCACCTCATAAACACCCTCATGTGCCTCGGAGGGCACCTCAGCGCCTCCTCCGTGTTCTACGTGCTCACGCTGCTCGAGGTGCGTGCTTCCTTGTTTTCTGGTACCGCTGTTCTTCAGGCACCTCATAAACACCCTCATGTGCCTCGGAGGGCACCTCAGCGCCCACTCATGGAGGCGCGTGTTCTCACAGCGCCCACTCATGGAGGCGCGTGTTCTCACAGCGCCCACTCATGGAGGCGCGTGTTCTCACAGCGCCCACTCATGGAGGCGCGTGTTCTCACAGCGCCCACTCATGGAGGCGCGTGTTCTCACAGCGCCCACTCATGGTGGCGCGTGGGAGGGTATTGGATCGGATTGACTGGGATGGTCATTGTGCGCTGTTGCTACTTTCTGGACGACACTGTCAGCTTAGCCCACTGACATGCCCCGCCCTCCCCTTCCTCCCCTCCTCCGTATCCCCCACAGATGCCGCGATACACCATGGGGTGGAAGGTGGCCCATGGCATTCAGAACATACGCGTTTTAGGACATTTCAAAACTGGCATGCCCCTCCCTCCACTCCCTCTGAACCCACAGTTACCGCGATACACCATGGGGTGGAAGGTGGCCCATGGCATTCAGAATATCGCCGAGGCATCTGTCAGCTTCAAGCGACTCTCGCACTTCCTGCAGGTCAGATTCATGCTCGTTTCATGGTCTTTTCATGCTCGCTTCATGCTCTATTCATGCTCTTTTCATGCTCCTTTCATGGTCTTTTCATGCTCTTTTCTTGCTCTTTTCATGCTCTTTTTATGCTCTTTTCATGCTCTTCCGTGCTGCCCGCGCATTGGGGTCAACGCCAATGCTGTGGCGCATGTCCGGTTGGAGCCTTACGCATGGGTGATGCGGTGCGATTGGTCACTGGGAGTGTGAAAGCATGCCGCCTCAGTGCGCCTCAGTGCGCCTCAGTGTGCCACAACGTGCCTCAGTGCGGTGGGTCGATGGGTGCGAGTGATGAATGTGTATCTTCTCAAAAGTCAGACCAGCTTGCTGAGTACCATCTCATCCCCTCTCAGTGTGCCTCTGCCTGTACATGCCTGTGCGTGCTGCCTGCACTCCAACAGACCAAACCCCACGGAGCCACGCGCAAGGGAGCCCCTTCTCAGAGCGGATATGCAGCACTGCTGCCAGAAGCGCGCCACTATGCCCTTGAGGCGATTTTTGAGTCCACTCAAGGAGCGAATTCACAGCACGGTTCTGCATTGCTCCCAGAGGAGCGCCACTACGCCATTGACACCCAAACCACCACCACCAAGCCTCTCAAATCCACAGCTGCTGCTCTCACAGCACCGAGTCTCCAGTCCCCGCCATCGTTGGAGCTCGCCTCACTGCCCTGCCACAGCCTCTCCTCCTCTGCTCCCACACGCCTTCCTTCCACCCCCCGTGCTGCCTTGGTGCTTGAAGGGGCTTCGTTTTCTTGGGGAGAAGCAGTGGGAGAAGCTCGGTGCGAGGGGGAGATGGAGGACGAAGAGAAAGGAGAAGGATTGAGCAGAAGGAGGGAGAGCCATGCACTTCAAGTGGCATCGGCAGGGCATGTATTCGATCTCTCTGAGACTCCCTCCACGGGCTATGGCTGCACGGACGATGGGTGCAGGGGCTATGGCACAGGTTATGGCACGGGCTACAACAGAAGCAGCTGCAGCGTCAATCACGTCCCCTCAGCTTTCCGCATGTGTTTCCCCCAGCGGTTCATGGGCTCTCATGCTGCTGGTCTTTCCCCTGCTGCAGCTTCTGCTTCTTCTTCTGCTGCTGATGCTGCTGCTGTGAGTGCGCCTGTGACCGCACAGGGGGGCCAAGAGGGGCAGAAGGAGATGGGCTGGCGGGACGATGCACCGAGCGGGCGGGTGGAGGGAGTGAGCGTGAGGCTGGGAGAGGCGGAGCTGCTGGGAGTGATTGGCAAGGTGAGCCCTTAACTCGTTGCTTGCAGCGTGCCGCATGCTATGGCATGCACGTGCCGCATGCTATGGCATGCACGTGCCGCATGCTATGGCATGCACGTGCCTTTGCGCGTGTTGTACGCCACACCACTGTTTGTCGCAGCCTACTGTGCTGCCTGCTGTTAGAATCAAGCTGCCATCGTGCAATTCTCCTTTCCTCCCTCCCTTGCTACCTCGCAGACGGGCAGTGGCAAATCGTTGCTGCTGCTGGGTATTCTCGGGGAAGTGCCTCTCTCATCCGGCGCCATGCACCGCTCCGTGCCGTCACTCGCCTATGCATCGCAACAGGTCTGCCTCCCACTCGCCTCTCTCTCACCCTTCCCCGGTCGTCTCTATCTCATGCTTTGCCATTCGTCTCTCTCCCACCCTTCCCACTCGCCTATCTCCCACCCTTCCCACTCGCCTCTCTCCCACCCTTCCCACTCGCCTCTCCCTCTCCCTTTGCCACTCGCCTCTCACCCTTTGCGCTTCCCCATTCCACCAGCCACTCCTCATCGAAGGGACGGTGCGAGACAACATCCTATTCGGCACACCGCTAGACGAGGCACTGTACGCCAAGGTACTACAATGCATCCCAAGGAACGTCTACCCTGATTCTGTCTCGCCTTTGAACGTCTCCCAATGCCCCCCTCTGCCGTCCATCTTCCCCGTTGACCCCCTCCTCCTCGCTGCCCTCTCCCCCCCCCCCCCCCCGTCTCTCATTCCCTCTCCACTCAAGGTGTTGGACGCCTGTGCTCTGCGCTCGGACTTGGCTCTGTGGCCACGTGGTGATGCCTCATTGGTGGAGGAGGGTGGCGGCAACCTCAGTGGCGGGCAGAGGGCGCGTGTGTCGCTCGCCCGGGCGGCGTATGCCGCACTTCACTGCAAGATGACTTCTGAGTCGGCGTATGCCACCCTGGACTGCTGCTCTGCCACACCACAGTTGCACGTTGATAGTAATGGTGGCTGCGACAATCGCCATAGCAACAGTAGAGACAATCGCAGTAACAATAGCAGCAGCAGCAGGGGTGCTCCCCCACCCGTGCTGGTCCTCCTAGACGACCCGCTTGCCGCGTTGGATCCAGCCATTGCCTGCCACGTGTTTCAGCAGTGCGTGTGTGGGCTGCTGGCAGGGCTGCCCAGGATTGTCGTCACTCACCAAGTGCAGTACCTTGGAAGGTATGGTGACGGGTGCGGGGGAAGGGGGTGGGGAAGGGGCCAAGAGGGAGGGGAACAGATTTTTTTTTTTGACAGTAACCACAGATGTACCTTCTTTCCTTCTCTATGCCCAGTAAGCCCCTCTCTCTATCCCAGCATCCTCTTGCTGTCATCCTCATCCTCCCTCTTTCTCCCTCTTCTCCCTCTGTATTTTTTTGCCCTCCTCACTCACCCCCATCCCCAGCTGCGACAGAGTGCTGCTGCTGGATGATGATACAGCAGCGGCGTGTGGTGCGTGGAGTGACCTCTGCGCCCTGCCCTCTGCTCAACAACATTGGGGAAATCACCCTCCGGGCCCGGATTTTTCGGACGTTTCTGATGATTCCGACACTTGCAGTGACAGTGCTGTCTGTGCCACTGACTCTGACTCTGACTCTGAATTTGAATCCTGCAGCAGCACTGACACGGATGAGGATGGCACACTTGCTGGCACACAGAGCTGCAGATGCAAAAATGGCACCACGGCGGCCTATGTGAGCAGCAGCAGCGGCCGCAGCAGCAGCAGCAGTGGCCGCAGCAGCAGCAGCAGCAGCAGCAGCAGCAGCAGCAGCAGCAGCAGCAGCAGCAGCAGCAGCAGCAGCAGCAGCAGCAGCAGCAGCAGCAGCAGCAGCAGCAGTGTATGCTCTGTAGATTGCGACAGGAGCAGTGACAGCGACATGGATGCGCCAACAGATTCCACAGACGACTGCCCCTTGATAGGGAGCGAGGTTGTGGTGGAGAAGGCGGAGGCGGAAAGAGGGCTGGTAAACGCATGCAGGGAGCGGGAGAGCATCTCACATGGGGGACAGCTTGCTGAGGGTTTGCTGTGCGAGTCGGGAGAGGCATCAGCAGCAGCGGAGCTGAGAGGCGGGGAGGAGGGACTGCTGGAGGCGAGTGGCTCCACAGAGGGTGATGATGAGCAAGGTACGCAGGCAACGCACGGTAGGCAGGCAATACACGTCCAATGCTTTCAGCTCTGAATCCCGAACGGCTGCTTTGGCGTGTTGCTTTCCTCGCTGTCCCTGAAACAGTTCCGCATCACAACCCCTTAACCCCGCCACTCCCTCCCTTCCCTTTATCCCCAAACCTCCAACTTCCTGTCCCACGCACTCGCTGTGTGTGCCTGCAGGCCTGCTGGACGTGGAGGGATGGCAGCATGGTGCCATCCCTATGTCGGTGTTTTGGGGCTACGCCAGACAGATGGGCGTGCTGCCCCTGCTGCTCGTCGCAGCTCTCTTCCTCGCCGCACACGTCTCAAACTGCCTCGCAAGCTGGTGCGAAAAAAAATCCTCCCCCTCTCACACACTCAAACTCCCCCACTTTTTCCCCTTCCCTCCTCCATGCCCCGTTCTCTTCTTTATTGCCTGAACGTCTGTGGTGTGTGTGTACTGCACAGCATATGTAACTGTTGGGATGCAAGTGCACACACCTCGTTCCCAATGCCGTATGTGTTGGCCCACACTGCTATCGATTGGGTTAAAGGGGCATGTTTGTATAGTGGGTAGCATACCCAAATCCCCCCAGATTCCAGAACGCACATGTAGCCCTCCCACACTCAACTCGAGGACGATCCCAATGCCCTACCAACAATCCCTCCCCTCACTGGGGTTGTCTCCCCCTCACTTGGGGCTCGTTAGGGCATTGGCGCTCATTGGCACACACTAGGACTCGAACCGGAGACCTTTGGCTCTGATACCATTTGTTGGCCCAAAATGATACCGACTTGGTTAAAATGTCATGTTTGTATGGTGGATGGCACACCCATACCTATCCGAAGTGCCTGTAGCCTGGCCACGCTCAACTAGGGAATGATCCCAGTGCCCCAACAACAATTTGTCTGTGAAAATTGCCCATCTGTCCCTCCCTCCCACTCCATGCTCGATGCCACTCCCTGTTTTCGTCATTCACAATGGCCAACAATTCTTGCCACTCCTTCCCTCCCCACAAGGTTCCTGGGCGTGTGGATGGGCACGCCCCACACCATACACCACCCGCTTCTCACCCTCACGGCCATCGCCCTCTCCTGCGTGGCCCTCTCTCTCCTCGCGTCGCTGCTCTTCCACCGCGCTGCTCTGCGCGCCTCCTCCCGCCTTCACTCACGCATGTTGGCCTCCGTGCTCGCCTCGCCGCTCGCCTTCTTCCACCGCAACCCCACCGGGCGCTTGCTGAACCGCTTCAGTGAGGACCTCGGGGTGACGGACGACGTGCTGCCAGAAATGCTGCTGGGATTCGTCAATGTGAGTGGGAGTATGGTAGGGATGGGGTGAGGGGGAGAAGGGTAGATGGAGGAGCGAAATTGAAGGTGGTTGGGTGATGCTTGAATCGCTTATGAAAAATCTCGAAGGCAGGAAGGGAGGTAAGGAGGGGGGTTGTAGGAAGAGAATTGAGGGAAAGCAGGGGATGGGTGGGATAGATGCATACCCATACGTTCGTTGCAATACGTGCTGGGGGATTACATTGGAATCACTTTTGAGAATTCTCAAAAGTGATCCCAACACACCCAATTGTGCGGTGAGTGTGGAAGAATGCACACGGGAGACCTGGGTTCGAAACCTGGTGTCGGCAGGCTCCCTGCTCTAGTGGAGGGCCCTCCCAGTGAGAGGAGTGTTGGAAGTGGGCACCGGAGTCAGTGGATCCAAACACACTATACAAACATGCACATTTTTCCCAGTTGGTTAGAGAACTGGAGTTATGCTTGTAATTCGTTCTGTTCAATAATAGCTGACGGGCCACCGCAGCTGGTGATTACTACATGAACGCACAAAGGGGCACCCGCCATAAGTCCAGCCAACCACTCTCTCATCTCGATCCTCCATCATCCCTCTCCCCTTATAAACATACCTTCCTTCCCGCCCTCCCATTCACTTGCCCACAGTCCGTAGGCTTGTGCATTGCGGCGGTGGTATCGGCGTGCATAGCCGTTCCGTGGACACTAATCCCCGTGCTGCCGCTGCTGCTGCTGCTGCTGCTGCAACTGCGGCATTTGTACGTGTGCACGGCGAGGGAGGTCCGGCGGATGGAATGCACCACACGCAGCGTGCTGCTTTCTCGGTTCCTTGCCAGCATGGAGGTGAGACTCATCACTCATAACTCTCTCTCACTAGCTGTACGTGTGCACGGCGAGGGGGGTCCGGCGGATGAGATGCACAACACGAAGCATGCTGCTTTCTCGGTTCCTTGCCAGCATTGAGGTGAGACTCATCACTCATAACTCTCTCTCACTAGCTGTACGTGTGCACGGCGAGGGGGGTCCGGCGGATGAGATGCACAACACGAAGCATGCTGCTTTCTCGGTTCCTTGCCAGCATTGAGGTAAGCTGCTTCTCTCAAACAGCCTAAGTCTTTTTCTCCTGGGTACGATTTATAAGAGTGGCGACAGCCTATGTGTCTAAGGGAGCTCCAACTGGGGCTCCAACACTACAAAGCAATCCCCAGATGAGATGTCTTCTCCTGGGTTGCTTAGGGGCGGGTTCTTAGTATGGGATGCCTCATTTGACCTGATGAGGTACCTGGAGACTTGCCCTCGCTTTAGATCTGATGGCACGGCAAGGGAGGTTTGACGGATGGTATGCACAACATGCAGTGTGCTCGTCTACTTAGCATGATTATGGTAGCGGTCAATCTTCTTAGCCGTCGTCTCCCAAGCAGCCCTTCCCCTCCCCTTGATCGCTTTTGGCCCACTGGGGCTGATGGGGTCGGCGGTGGTCACGTCGCGAATCCCAACTGCCCTCGAGGTACGATCCCATGGAGAAAGGTCTGCTTTATGACCGTCAACAGGGCTGAAAACAGAAGTTTTGTTGTGAACCCATGAATGCACACACGTGCGCGCACACATCCCCACACACACACACACACACTCACACACACACACACACTCACACACACACACACACATACACACACTCACACACACATGTCAAATTATGTGCAACACATATTGTAGGCTAGGTTTCAGTTACTCCTTAGAGGGTACGACATTTGTACTTGTGCACCCTGTATGCCCTGCTGTTAGTTATTTCTCTTCAGTTCTACTTCTCAACAACACGCACACACACCCACGCATCCACTGTCACACGCACTTTCCAAGCTCACCTCAAATCTATACTCCCCTCCCCCTCTCCACCCCCCCAGGGCCTGCCGACCATCCGAGCCTTCTCCCAACAGCGCCGCTTCCACCGCCTCTTCCTTCGCCACGTCACCGCCAATGCCACCCCGCACCTATTCTGGCTTGCCACGTGGGAGTGGCTGGGCTTCCGATTGGACCTCCTTGTTGCCGCCGCCCTGCTCTCCGCCGCCCTCGCCGCCGTGGCCCTGCGACACTCGCTGCCGCCCGCCATGGCCGCGCTGGCTTTGTCTTATCTGCTGCAGCTACCAGACTCCCTGCGCTGGACACTGCAATACGGAGCAGAGCTTGAGAACACGGTGAGGCGAGAGAAAGGCTGAGGCTAGTGGACAGGGGTGCAATGGTTGTGTTTCTGGGTGTGAGTGAAGTGCGGGAAGGGATGAACGGAGGCAGGCAGACCATGGAGGGACGGAAACCAGGAATGCGCCCCATCTGCAGAGTGTGCTGGAAGGGAAGCAAGCACCCATCTCCTGACTCAACTCTTATGGGGTGCATTCTGATGATACACACTATTTCCACATCACATTCTCATGCCATGAAACAGTGCGAACTCGGCAGGGAGCTCATCCCTCCAGCACAAGGTCATGCATTGTTTTCTCCCTGTACCTCGAACACCCCATCCATGGCAGTTCACCAGTGTTGAGCGCACACTCGAGTACACCATGCTTCCAAGTGAAGTGCCCCCACCGAGCCCCAACAGTCAATCTAAGCGTCAGCAGCAGCAGCAGCAGCCACGGCAACAGCAGCAGGAGAAGCAGCAGCAGCAGCAGCAGCAGGAAAAGTCCACCGCAAAATCCACAATATTCAGCATGCTGTACGGAGCACTGCGAACAGCAATCAGCCTCCTTCCCTCCAAATCACTATGTGCTCACATTCCTCTCCTCCCCAATTGCCAAGCTACAAATGCAGCATCACACAGCGAGGAGGAGGGGAACATCAGAAGCTCCCTTCGCCCCCCTTGGCCGTCAGTAGGGGCAGTGCAAGTGGAGCAGCTGACGGTGCGGTATGGCAGCACGGGGCAGGCAGTGCTGCGCAGCTTGAGCTTTCGGCTCGCAGGAGGAGAGAAGTGTGGTGTGGTGGGGCGAACAGGTGAGGCTATGTGGGATTGCCTCTGTAGTTCAACGTACCATGATTGGGCTGGTTCAAGGTGGAGAATTCTCAAAACTGATCCGATATACCTGGTAGGGATGGTGTGATTCAGGGCTTCTGTGAAAAAGCGCTTGAAACTGTGTTGGCTGGTATGTGTTCTCTATGTGTCTGCCTCGTCTCAACCCATCAGGTGCAGGAAAATCCACTCTCATGCTCGCTCTGCTGCGGTTGGTGGAAGCGTCTTCAGGGAGCATTTGCATTGATGGTGTCGACATTGCATCGCTGCCGCTAGCCACCCTGCGAAGCGAGGTAGGCTCCTTAGGCACCTCAGAGTCCTTGCATTGCTGCCTCTTGCTGCCGTGCAAAGCAAGGTAAGCCTTTGAGGCACCTCTAAAGACAATACATCGCTTCCTTTTGCAACCCTGCAAAGCAAGGTAAGCATCCAAGTGGCACTTTTTAGTTGACTCAAAACTACTCGCGCTCACTACGTATTCTGCTTTCTCTCTTCTCTTGCTCACTACGTATTCTGCTTTCTCTCTTCTCTTGCTCACTACGTATTCTGCTTTCTCTCTTCTCTTGCTCACTACGTATTCTGCTTTCTCCCTTCTCTTGCTCACTACGTATTCTGCTTTCTCTCTTCTGTTGCTGCTCACTACGTATTCTGCTTTCTCTCTTCTCTTGCTCACTACGTATTCTGCTTTCTCTCTTCTCTTGCTCACTACGTATTCTGCTTTCTCTCTTCTCTTGCTCACTATGTATTCTGCTTTCTCTCTTCTCTTGCTCACTACGTATTCTGCTTTCTCTCTTCTCTTGCTCACTACGTATTCTGCTTTCTCTATTCTCTTGCTCACTACGTATTCTGCTTTCTCTCTTCTCTTGCTCATGGTGTTTGTTTCCCTTGCAGGGTGCTGCTGGCGTCGACACGCGTGTTGCTGATGGATGAAGCGACAGCGAGCATGGATGGGGAGAGCGATGCAGTAATTAAAGACATCCTGCGGGAGTCGTTCAAGGATCGCACCGTCATCACCATTGCACACCGCCTCTCCACAGTTCTGCATTATGATCAGGCAAGCCTTTTGAGACGTCTCCAGAGTCACTCAAGGATAGCACCGTCATCACCATTGCACACCACCTCTCCACAGTTCTTCATTATGACCAGGCAAGTCAATTGTTGATTGTTGAGTTGACTCCAAATTCATTCAAGGACAACACCGTCATCACCATTGCTCACCACCTCTCCACAGTCCTTGATTATGACCAGGCAAGTCAGAAGAGTGTCGCTTGTGCCTCTTGCTCGCATGTAATCACTCTCGTCTGTGTGAGTGCGTGTGCGCACGCACACCCTACATGTGCGCAAGTCCCACCTGCTGAAAAGCTGCCTAATGTTTTGGTTCATCGACTATCCAATCCCCATTTTTCGCAGGTTCTTGTCATGGAACGTGGGAAGAGCATTGAGTTTGGAGCTCCAGAGAATCTCAGAAAACTTAAGTCCAGTGCTTTCTTTAGTATGCTAGCAGATAATACCTCCAAGATAGAGTAAAGACCTCTATGATAGTGTACTACATTGTAATATATGTAATATACATAATTATATTATACTGTATGGTTTATGATTTTATGGCCTTGGTGTCAGAAGTTTCGGTTTCAGCCATCCATACTCGATTTGGCCTGGGTTTAAAATCTTTGATATCACTACATAAAAGTGAACATAAATTACGGTAAGATCCCATTAAGAAACACATATTACATACATGCTTATTGTATTGTACGACAGGAAGGGACACGATTTATCGGAGGGCAATGAGCCATCTTGATTGAGCCGGCACAAAGACAAGGCACCATGGACCTCTCAGCAATATTGATCGATACGGTAATGCGCGATTGACTCTTCATTGCGATGTGGTCAAATGGGACTGTGAGAGAGAGCATGCAGGTTCGAGCCGTGTTCTGAGTCGACTAAAAAATGCAGCTTCGAGTTGTGCCACAACCACCTGCAGCACTTGCCCTCCCTGCTGTCCAGTCTGCAACATAATACCAGTGCCAGTACCAGATCCACGATCGCAGCAACAGGCTGTCAGTCAGTGGAATCTACTTTCTGAGAATTCTCACAGAACAGATTCAGCTTGACACCCCAATACAGAATACCTCTGCCATTACCAGATATCCACGATCGCAGCAGCAGGCAGCAGGCTGTCAGTCCAGCCTACTGCAGCACTTGCCCTGCCTACTGTCCAGTCCAATGCTGCTACTGCCAGTGCTAGATATCCACAGTCGTAGCAGCAGGCTCTCAGTCAGTGGGAGGGCAAGCAGCTTCAACCTGTGGCTCCACTCCACAGGCTGCAGCACTCGAGGTGACATTTGAGTCGACTCATAAACCCTGTCCAAGTTGGAACCGGGCTGTGGGTGGGGGGGACTCATAAATTCTGCATTCTGTGACTCCAAACACGACACCTGTAGCGCTCCAGGTAGCTTCCAAGTCGACTCAAAAGCCCTAGACCCTATCTAAGTTGAAACCGGGCTGTCAGTGGGAGGGCAGGCAGCCTCCAGGCGGGTCATCACGCCCTGCAGCACTCGCTTCCTGCTCAACCGGAACTGCATCGCTGTTAGCTTCTCATCCAGCACTGGCAGAAGCACTGCACACCTGCACCGCACTCCCATCGCTGTCATCATCTCCCCTCCCATCCTCCCTCCTCTCAACCTCCCTCCTCTCAACTTCCCTCTTCTCGACCCCCCTCCTGTCAGCCTCCCTCCTGTGAGTGTCCCTCCTGCCCCGCTTCTCCCTCTCTCCCCATCTCCACCACCTCCTGTCCGCCACTCCTCACAACCCCTCTCAACCTCCTCGTCCTCCCTTTTCCTCCTCTCCTCCTCATCGCCCCTCTCTTCTACCTCCTCGCCTTCCTTTGCTCCCTCTGCCTCTGCCTCTCCCCTCCTTCCCACCCGTCTCCCGTCCTCCTCTTTCCCCTCCCTCTTCCCGCACCGCTCCAGCTCCGTCAGGATCGCTTCGGCTTCCCTCTGTGCTAGCTTCTTCTTTCCTTCCTTCCCCAGTTTCCCACCCTTCACCCCCTCCCCTTCCCCCATCTTCCCGCCGCTCTTGCACCGCTCCAACTCCCTCAGGATCGCTTCGTCCTCTTCTATGCTGGTCGGCATCTGCTGCAGCCGCGCCTGCGCTAGCAGACGAACGGTGTCGGCCGCTGCTTGGAGGGCGGGCAGCATGTCAGGGGCGGGCGAGGAGAGGAACCGGCACGTGCTGTTGCTGACGGCCCATCCCAGGTAGACTGCTGAGCTGGTTAGCACTGCAGGGGGGTCTGTGTGTGTATAAGTAAGAAATGGGAAGAAAGATGGGCAAAGGAGTGGGTGGGGGTTGGGGGGGAGGGGAGAGGACAGCCATGCAGGTGCTGTTGCTGACGGCCCACCCCAGATAGACTGCTGAGCTGGTCAGCACTGCAGGGGGGTCTGTGTGGGAGAAATGGGAAGAGGAGGGGGAGCAAGGGGGGTTGGGGGTGGGAGGGAAGGTGCGAGGAGAGGTGCTGGCAGGTGCTGTTGCTGACAGCCCATTCCAGGTAGACTGCTGAGCTCGTTAGCACTGCAGGGTGGTCTGTAAAATGGGGGAAGTGCGAAGAGCAACTCGGATTGGTCTCCACGAGCCCTCTCGCCCACACCGCCACGCCCACCTCCTTGTTGGTTTCACCACTGTTGAGTCGACATGCACCCACCTCGTTGATGCAGCAGGTCGTAGAACACAGCGGCGAGCGCAGCCACCAGATTGGGCTCCACGAGCCCTCTCGCCCACCCTCGCCTCCTTGTCTGCCTCACCTGTCTGGTGCTGCAAACAGCAGTGGTACCACAGCCAAAGCCCCACCTTTTCCATGCTGCAAGTAGTAGAACACAGCAGCAAGAGCGGCGATTAGATTGGGCTCCACGAGCCCTCTCGCCCACCCTCGCCTCCTTGTCCGCCTCACCTGTCTGGTGCTGCAAACAGCAGTGGTACCACAGCCAAAGCCCCACCTTTTCCATGCTGCAGGTAGTAGAACATCGCAGCAAGGGCCAGAGAACGCACCTCGTTGATACTGCAGATGGTAGAACACAGCAGCAAGAGCAGCAATCAGATTGGGCTCCACGAGCCCTCTCACCCACACCGCCACGCCCATACCCACCTCCCTGCCCGCCTCACCTGTCCGGCCAGAGATCGCACCTCGTCGATAGTGCAAGTAGTAATACACAGCAGCAAGGGCAGCGATGAGATTGGGCTCCACGAGCCCTCTCGCCCACACCGCCACGCCCACCCTGCCCTCCTTGTCCGCCTCTGTCCTCTCCTCCACGCCCCCCATTATCTCCTCCACCTCGCTCACTCTCCTGACCCGCTGCATCAACTCAAACGGCGGGCCACCGCTCTCCGCGGCGCTGTAGAACTTCCCTCCCTCCTCCCGCTCCCTCACCACGGCCTCCACTGCCCTCGCTGCCACCCGCCACAGCTGCCGCTTCAGCCGATGCAGCGGAATAGTCGTGCGCTCAGGTTCTTCCTCCCCGCTTCTCTCTCCACCGTCAATAAGCCACGCACCAGCACCAGCACCAGCACCAGCACTCCCCCACACGCGCAGCAGCTTCTGCTTAATCTCTTCCCGCCAATGAACGGACGAGGGTGCAGGTTGCGCGCGAGAGGAAGGGCTGGCAGCATCAGCTGTAGCCTCAGCTGTATTTTCGGAAGTGGCGGCTGCAGCAGCATCAGCAGCACTGCATGTGTGCCTCACTTCACTAGAGCCAGCAGCAGCAGCAGGGCAGGCAGCAGCAGTATCAGCTTGGAATCGAGCAGCAGCATCACATGCAAGCTTCGTCTTCACTGCACCGCCACATACATCAGCGCCAACACCACCACCACCACGGGCAGTTGCTATCTCATCCTCTTCTTCTCCTCTTGCTCTTCCCTCCAACCCCCTCTGTCCCTCCTGCTGCACTGCCAGCTTGATCCCTCGCTGCTGTGAGCCTCCATGGTACAGCGCTTCCTCTCTGCCAACCACTTGCGGCTGCTCCATATGGTGGTGGACGAGAGCGGCAACGAGGTGAACAGCGTGGGAGAGCGAGGGCAGCAGGGGGGCACTGTCAAACATGTTCCCCGGCAGCACGAAGCCATACGCCTCCAGCAGATCCTCGTTGCCCCGCAGCCCGTAGCTCGTGCTCACCTCCTCGCCCCTCTTTACCTCAGTTGTTGCCCCAAACTCAAACGTTGTACCGTCGGCTCCAAACTGCAGGCGTGGGGTGAGGAGGGGGCGAGGGAGGCAGGGAGGAGCGAGGGAGGAGGGAGGGGAAAAAAAGGTAAACGGGGTGGGCGGAAACGGGGGATGGAGAGGGCGAGGGCAGCAGTGGGGCGTGGTCGAGCATGTTCCCCGGCAGCACGAAGCCATACGCCTCCAGCAGATCCTCGTTGCCCCGCAGCCCGTAGCTCGTGCTCACCTCCTTGCCCTGCCTCACACTCACTGTTGCCCCAAACTCAAACGTATCCCCATCTGCGCCAAACTCAAACGTATCCCCATCTGCGCCAAACTCAAACGTATCCCCATCTGCGCCAAACTCAAACGTATCCCCATCTGCGCCAAACTCAAACGTATCCCCATCTGCGCCAAACTCAAACGTATCCCCATCTGCGCCAAACTCAAACGTATCCCCATCTGCGCCAAACTCAAACGTATCCCCATCTGCGCCAAACTCAAACGTATCCCCATCTGCGCCAAACTCAAACGTATCCCCATCTGCCCCAAACTGCGGGGAAAGGGGAGGAGGGGAGGAGGGAGGGAAGAAACGGGGGAGGGCAGGGTGGAGGGAGAAGGCAGGAACAGAGAGTGAGTGAGACACACGAGTCAGGAGGATGCAGAGCATCAGCAACCAAAGGGAGACGGAGAACATGATGGGAGCCAAGCTAGGAGGTGACGCAAGAGGCAGCCCTGCCATGAAAACTGAACAATACTAGTGACAATGATGACCACAATCAATAATCTTATAAGAGTGGTAAAAAAAAAAAAAAAAAAAAAAAAAAAAAAGTAACAGCAGCAGCAGCAGCAGGGTTTCACACCCCAAGCACATTACCGACCGTGTAGGCGGTTTTGAAGTCGTTGCTGTGGTCGAAGAACTCTGCAGGCGGCACCAGCGGCACCAGCAGCAGCAGCAGCAGCAATGGTTTATAAACCAGTGACCACAAGCACGTTACCGTATAGGCGGCATGGAAGTCGTTGCTGTGGTCAAAGAACTCTGCAGGAGGCACCAGCAGCACCGCACCCTTCTTCACCTGCACCTCCACTGCCCCTGATGGCCCACCCGGCCCTTCCGAACCTCCGCCCGCACCCCTGCCCGACCCTCCTCCCAACCCTCCTCCCGAACCTCCGGCCGACCATCCACCCGAACCTCCGCCCGAACCTCCTCCCGACCCTCCGCCCGACCCTCCCGCCCCTGCTTCCCCTGTTCCGTCCACTCCACCAGGGCCTATCGGTTCAAACGTCACCACATTCCCCCACCGCGGGTCCTGAAAGCCGCGAGACTGGACCACAGAGAGCGCCCACATGAACTCGTGCAGGGACGCGTTGCCCAGCACTGTGGGGCCACAGCGCCGGTACTCAAACTCGTAGCTCGCAAGATTGTGGCGCACCTGATGGGGTGGGTTGTGGTGTGGGGATGGGGTGCAGTGCAGGCAGGCAGAAAATGAGAACATGAATCTCATTCGCAGCTCACCATTACCTTCCAGGCTTTGCAAGAACTTGGAGTAGAATCCGCACTTGCTACCATAAGTTACAGCGATTTTTTAGGCGCTTCAAAAATCGGCTTTTGAGGCGCCTAAAAAACCGCCTCATGACTCGCTTTGCAAGAACGTGGAGTAGAATCTGCACTTTCCACCACGAGTTATGACTGCTAAGAATTTCCCATCACATAAGTTCCACCATAAGTTACAGCTAAAATGACTGCTTTCGACCCTTACCTTCAAGTAGATCTCACTGCTTTCACTATCAACGGGGCCTGGAGTTTTTCCAGCCTCATTTCTTGAGACGTCTCAAATGTCTTCCGCCTCATTTCCTCAAAGAACTACGGCCACCAGAACGACTCCTGAAGAGAGACGCTTGAGTTGACTCATGCGTGCGGGGTGAGGGGCAAGGCAGAGTGCGTGCGTCACATCACAATCAGGGGCTATTTTTCAAGGGTATTTTGCCCTGAATCCCCTTTCTGTGAGGCGTTTTTTTTTCGATTACCCTGATTTTGTAAAGCCAACCGTATTGCAACCCTTCCCCAAAAAGTGTAGCAATTTTAAGACCCTTAGTACATCAGGCTGTGTGTTTTGTTACCCGTACCAGTCAGGGTTGGGTAAAAAGTACCCTTTTACCGAATCCTCGGACCTGTAGTTTCACGCGTAACTGTAGGAATCTGCCAAGCTGTACCAGCAACAATACATTCCGCCCACCGACAGTCTGTGCTGTCAAGGTGGGTGGTTTTGTTTTTTCTTGCTGTGATTGCTATTCGTCCTCGCGGCAGCTTTGGCTGCCAGCACTTGGTGTTTTCTCTTGACAGCGCATTGCAACTGTGGTGGTGGCACCATCGTGAACGGGGGACGGAGCGCACTGCAATTGGACGTGGATGTGTCTCTTGCATCATGGACGCCATGCACGCTTGGAATGGTGAGGGGTTTGTTGCTTTTGCTTCTTGCAAAGCACTGTCATTCATCCCAGGCCGTTCACCTCTGTTCCACACCTCTGTCTGGTGTTTCTCAGCACGCTTAGAATGCCTCGCGACGAGGACGACGGAGGCGCACTATCAGGCCAGCTGAATGGCCTGAGTGTGCTCGGCATTGGTCGACGAGAGCCACCTGTTGATCTGCCGCCTGTTACTTCTGGAATGGGAACTTCATCGCCCGTACTTCCTGAACGAGTGGTTTACCCGTTTGAGCCTCCCTGTTCACCCACCGCTTTCCCAGAGCATCCGGCCGTCATCCTTGTACCTGGTGGCGGTGAAGGCTCATCCAATCCGTCTGTCTGCACACCACGAACCTCCCCCGATGAACATGCCAAGAGGAAGCGCACGACATACACCCAGCAGCGCTTGTGGGGCGCTCCACCACCTCGGAATCCGGATGCTCCGCGAAACGCTTCACCACCACCATCCTCCCTTGCTGTGAAAACTTCGGACGTGGATGCAGAGTTTGCATTGATGAAGCACCGGTATGACACCGACTGGTCGAAGCGGTTCTCGTGGCTGAAGCTTCACAACATGAAAAACGGTAGGCCGTCTCTCAAATGCTCGGTTTGTGTGCTGTTTGGCGATCCTAACGCTAACACGAGCTATGGTTGCCGAGGTGAGGGTGGGTAGAGATTTGCAACTTGGGAGCATGCGTGCTCATATCGGCAGCACGGCTCACAAGGCGGCGCTGAAGGCAGAATTCGATGCTGAAGCTGCTAAGGCGCGGCAGGTGACTCTCTCTCGGTGGCAGGCAACGGATTCTTCGACTCGCCATCTCATACGTGTTAGAATTCCCATGTTCTAGCATGCTAACACTTGTGACTGTACACCAATTGTGGTGTATAGTTGCGTTGGGACTACACCCAACTTTCGGTGTAGTTTTGCATTTTGGGGTGCCAATCCAACCCAATTGTGGTGGAGCCCCCAAATGCAACCCTATGGGCCATAGGTTGGACCACTCCCCCAAGTGTGGCCAACCCAACCCAATGGGCCATGGGTTGGCCCACACCTCCAATCCCACCTCCCTCCTTTCCCTTCCAATCTTCTCTTCCCAAAGCTATGTATGCTTGCTAATTTTCTAATCAAGCTAATGGTTCAACTTCCTTTCTTCACAATACGATGTCTCCACATCGCCCATTTCGTCTGCAAGAAAGACGCACCGATGGCGCTCTTCATTCCACTCTGCTGGTTCCTCGCCAAGGAGGGTCTTCCCGATCTCCCTCCAAACAAAGGGTACGGATCGTACTACACAGAGTGAGTACAGTTGTTTCTTTGACAAATACCATTTCTTTTAATGCACTTGCACATGCACGCTTTGGCCTAACAAATCCCTCGTGTGCTGGCTTGCAGGTACGGATTCAAGCAACACCTCAGCGCCATCTCTACCCATTTGCATGAGCGTCAACTTCAGCACATCCAGGCTTCGCCGTGCCTCGGGATAAGCATTGACGAGAGCACCGATCGTGTCCACGGGAAACACATTATCCTTTACGCCACTTTCTTTAAAGAAACGGCGGTCGTCACTGCGTTTGTCACTCTCCTCTCTGTGGAACGCACTGACGCTGCGTCGCTTACCTCTGTGCTGTTGCAGTACTTGAGACAGATCCGCATCGACTTGCAGAAGATCGTTGGGATCGCCACTGACGGAGCTTCCGTCATGGTCGGTTCACTGGCCGGTGTTTGTGTCCGCCTGAGGACAGAGATTGAACATCTCGTGTCCACTCACTGCATCGCCCATCGGTGAGCGGAATTCCGTTTGCTTCCTCGATACTTTACATTGCGTCACCGTCTGTAGCTCAATCCTAACAAGATGCACCGCTTTGTCGCAGGGAGGCTTTGGCAGCCAAGGAAGCAGCGTTTCAATTGCCCGCGCTCAACATTGTCGACGATGTTGTCCGCGGACTGGCGGACATCCTCGGCAGGAGTCACGTGAAGAATCAGCGCTTCATGCACCTGCAGCTCATCTTTTGTCAGACGAACCTGGAGGCACAGAGGATTCATGCCATCAAATGGCTGTCAAGGGGCGAAGCCATCCAGCGGCTACTTGATGTGTTGCCAGCTGCCATGCTCGCGCTGAAGGAGAACTCCGCCACCCTGTGGGAGGTGGTAACTCCCTTCAAATTTCACTTCCTTCTCCGATTTCTCGCGGACATCCTCACAAGCTCAACCACTTGAACACAAGGTTTCAAGTGCGCCAGTGTTAAGGTGAAGCCCTGCACGCGCCTGGTTTTGCGTGTAGCAGCCCTATGCGGTGTAGCGAGGTTTCGCATACCGTATACCGGAGCTTCGGTATTCGCCGAGTACACTCCAATCCAATAGTGCACTTCGGTATGCACTGTTCAACACTTAACCGAATTGGAGGGAAGTGACGACATTGCAGAAACGAGTATGTGCAACTGTCTCTTGCGAGCACCTGCGCAACTACTCCTGGATAGGTAGAAAATACACCTGACGGTATTTTCACCTGATGGTGTTTTCGCCTTGCGGTGCCAACCTGGAACCACATACTAGAGTAGGTGCTTGCACGTTCTCCTTGAACAATGTTCTTCATGAACAACGTTCCCGTAGAACATTCTCGCACACGTCACTATGTTTCCTATAAGGTTCATGTTGTTTCTGTTGTAATCTATCAATTAATCTATTACTTTCCTTTCGTTACTGAATACCAAGCCAGTTGCTGCATACCAAGCATACTATTCTCCGAATACCAGTATCCGGTTTCCAGCAAGTCCGTATACGCAAAACTCGCGCTTCACTCTCTGATCGTGCAACTCTGCGCCTAGGCTCTCCCACAATCGCCTATTCTCCGCAGCCAGGTGAGATACCGCCAAAACGACTTGTTCCTGGCCTATGCCGTTGTGTCTGGTGGGTGTGTTATCAATCTCTGCTATTAACGTATCCTCCTGGTTTCCATTTCTGCTTCCCAACCACAGGTGGACGTGACCCTGGTTGCGCACCTCGTGGTGCAAAATCGCATGCGCATCAGTCAGCGGTACATCGATGTGCCACAAGGCCACGTGTTCGGGCACAGAGACAAGATGCATCTACCGGACTTCTTGAAGAGGCACGCTTCAGTCGACACTCGCAAAATGCGTGCTGATGGCGTCGATGCTGACGGGAACCCTGCTAAAGCCGAGTTTATCCTTCATGAGAGTCGACTCGAAGGCCACACAACAGCTAGCAACTTGCAGGCGTGCTACGCCCTTGCTGTGAAGTTCGCCACTAAGATCAACAGTGAGCTGGCGTGGCGGATGGCGGACTTGCAGACACTGGAAGGCACCAAGAGCTCTTCCTGTCCCGGACCTACCTGGCTGACGACGACAAGCGACTTGCAGCATTCAAAAAGTGGCTGAAGCAGTTGGCTGCACTCTTCCACGGGAAACTTCCTGGTTTGTTAACAATAAAGCTGTTTCTGTATGTTATGCATTCCCAACATTGCAGGGATGTGGTTGTTTTGGCGTCAGTGGCACGCCTAGTTATCTTGTCTGCATGAAACTTTACTTGTTTATCTTGTCTCTCCACCGTCCCATCCCATCCCATCCCTCCGGAGTGTTGTTTTGGATTGCCCGTTTGCATGTCCTGCAGGATTCGATCTCAACAAGGCAACGACGGAGCTATGGATGTTCACGTCAACGATGCACTCGCAGCACCACAATGAAGGCTTCCACCAAGCGCTATCCAACACCCTTCGTGATGAAGACACCTGGCGTCGTTCATTCCCCGACATCATGAGGCTGTGGCAGGCACTGGCAGTTCTTCCTCTCAGCACTGTTGAGTGCGAGAGGGGATTCTCAAAGCAGAACCTCATTAAGGCGTGGGGAGGAGGCACCATTGGCGATGCCAGCCTTGGCGACCTCATGCGCTGCTCCCTCTTGGACTACCAGGTGGACTGGTTTGATGTCCTCGCTGTTTTCCGGGGAGAGAAGAACAGGCGCCCCATTAGGGACTTCTCGGGCGTGTCTCCTGGGGAGCAAGAGTTTGTAGACATTAGGGGGGAGAACAGCCCCAATGTGTAGAGTAGTGTTTAGCTTATTATGTAGTTGTAGTTGTAGATGAGGGCATGTCCCTATGTAATCATTGCTATCTAATGGAAGGCATAGAGTATGGCCACATTATTGCATGCTACACACGAAACCGGGTAATTAGGCAAACTTCAAGAAAACACCCTTACACAAACAGTGTGCAAAAAAATTTACCCTTGTGTGGACAGGGTGGGGGAAACATGACCCTAGCAGTCAGGGTGCTGTCACCCTGGTACCCTGATACTTAAGGGTGCTATGAGACCAAAAATAGCCCCTCATCACAATGAAGTCGTCACAATGAAGTGGTCGTGACTTCTGACTCCAGTTAGTCGATCGTGGAAACAGTGGTCGTGACTTCTGACTCCACTGAGTCGATCGTGGAAACAGTGGTCGTGACTTCTGACTCCAATGAGTCGATCGTGGAAACAGCGGTCGTGACTTCTGACTCCACTGAGTCGATCGTGGAAACAGTGGTCGTGACTTCTGACTCCAGTGAGTCGATCGTGGAAACAGCGGTCGTGACTTCTGACTCCAGTGAGTCGATCGTGGAAACAGCGGTCGTGACTTCTGACTCCAGTGAGTCGATCGTGGAAACAGTGGTCGTGACTTCTGACTCCAGTGAGTCGATCGTGGAAACAGTGGTCGTGACTTCTGACTCCAGTGAGTCGATCTTGGAAACAGTGGTCGTGACTTCTGACTCCAGTGAGTCGATCGTGGAAACAGTGGTCGTGACTTCTGACTCATGTGAGTCGATCGTGGAAACAGTGGTCGTGACTTCTGACTCCAGTGAGTCGATCGTGGAAACAGTGGTCGTGACTTCTGACTCCAGTGAGTCGATCGTGGAAACAGTGGTCGTGACTTCTGACTCCAATGAGTCGATCGTGGAAACAGTGGTCGTGACTTCTGACTCCAGTGAGTCGATCTTGGAAACAGTGGTCGTGACTTCTGACTCCAGTGAGTCGATCGTGGAAACAGTGGTCGTGACTTCTGACTCCAGTGAGTCGATCGTGGAAACAGTGGTCGTGACTTCTGACTCCAGTGAGTCGATCGTGGAAACAGTGGTCGTGACTTCTGACTCCAGTGAGTCGATCGTGGAAACAGTGGTCGTGACTTCTGACTCCAGTGAGTCGATCTTGGAAACAGTGGTCGTGACTTCTGACTCCAGTGAGTCGATCGTGGAAACAGTGGTCGTGACTTCTGACTCCTGTGAGTCGATCGTGGAAACAGTGGTCGTGACTTCTGACTCCAGTGAGTCGATCGTGGAAACAGTGGTCGTGACTTCTGACTCCAGTGAGTCGATCGTGGAAACAGTGGTCGTGACTTCTGACTCCAATGAGTCGATCGTGGAAACAGTGGTCGTGACTTCTGACTCCAGTGAGTCGATCTTGGAAACAGTGGTCGTGACTTCTGACTCCAGTGAGTCGATCGTGGAAACAGTGGTCGTGACTTCTGACTCCAGTGAGTCGATCGTGGAAACAGTGGTCGTGACTTCTGACTCCAGTGAGTCGATCGTGGAAACAGTGGTCGTGACTTCTGACTCCAGTGAGTCGATCGTGGAAACAGTGGTCGTGACTTCTGACTCCAGTGAGTCGATCGTGGAAACAGTGGTCATGACTTCTGACTCCAATGAGTCGATCGTGGAAACAGTGGTCGTGACTTCTGACTCCAGTGAGTCGATCTTGGAAACAGTGGTCGTGACTTCTGACTCCAGTGAGTCGATCGTGGAAACAGTGGTCGTGACTTCTGACTCCTGTGAGTCGATCGTGGAAACAGTGGTCGTGACTTCTGACTCCAGTGAGTCGATCGTGGAAACAGTGGTCGTGACTTCTGACTCCAGTGAGTCGATCGTGGAAACAGTGGTCATGACTTCTGACTCCAATGAGTCGATTGTGGAAACAATGGTCGTGACTTCTGACTCCAGTGAGTCGATCTTGGAAACAGTGGTCGTGACTTCTGACTCCAGTGAGTCGATCGTGGAAACAGTGGTCGTGACTTCTGACTCCTGTGAGTCGATCGTGGAAACAGTGGTCGTGACTTCTGACTCCAGTGAGTCGATCGTGGAAACAGTGGTCGTGACTTCTGACTCCAGTGAGTCGATCGTGGAAACAGTGGTCGTGACTTCTGACTCCAGTGAGTCGATCGTGGAAACAGTGGTCGTGATCGACGAGACCTGGAGCTCCTCCAGCGTGTCCTCCTCAAAGAAGTACGGCAGGCAGGGGGACATGGCGGGGCAGCCGAGAATGACAGAGAGAGCCACCGTAGAGTCTCGTCTTGAACTTACTCTTTTGAGTCGACTCAAAAGTCAACTCGCTACCGTAGAGTCTCGTCTTGAACTTACTCTTTTGAGTCGACTCAAAAGTCAACTCGCTACCGTAGAGTCTCGTCTTGAACTTACTCTTTTGAGTCGACTCAAAAGTCAACTCGCTACCGTAGAGTCTCGTCTTGAACTTACTCTTTTGAGTCGACTCAAAAGTCAACTCGCTACCGTAGAGTCTCGTCTTGAACTTACTCTTTTGAGTCGACTCAAAAGTCAACTCGCTACCGTAGAGTCTCGTCTTGAACTTACTCTTTTGAGTCGACTCAAAAGTCAACTCGCTACCGTAGAGTCTCGTCTTGAACTTACTCTTTTGAGTCGACTCAAAAGTCAACTCGCTACCGTAGAGTCTCGTCTTGAACTTACTCTTTTGAGTCGACTCAAAAGTCAACTCGCTACCGTAGAGTCTCGTCTTGAACTTACTCTTTTGAGTCGACTCAAAAGTCAACTCGCTACCGTAGAGTCTCGTCTTGAACTTACTCTTTTGAGTCGACTCAAAAGTCAACTCGCTACCGTAGAGTCTCGTCTTGAACTTACTCTTTTGAGTCGACTCAAAAGTCAACTCGCTACCGTAGAGTCTCGTCTTGAACTTACTCTTTTGAGTCGACTCAAAAGTCAACTCGCTACCGTAGAGTCTCGTCTTGAACTTACTCTTTTGAGTCGACTCAAAAGTCAACTCGCTACCGTAGAGTCTCGTCTTGAACTTACTCTTTTGAGTCGACTCAAAAGTCAACTCGCTACCGTAGAGTCTCGTCTTGAACTTACTCTTTTGAGTCGACTCAAAAGTCAACTCGCTACCGTAGAGTCTCGTCTTGAACTTACTCTTTTGAGTCGACTCAAAAGTCAACTCGCTACCGTAGAGTCTCGTCTTGAACTTGTCAGAACCAGCAGTAGAAAGTAAGAATGAAGAAAGGAGGGGTTTCACTAGCAAGCAGTTGAGTACATATAGGAAACCCTAGATTGGGCTGTATTCGCTATAGAGTACCCCACTGCAGGCTAGACAAATACAACATTCTGACACACCCCCATAGCCAAAGTGGGGTGTAATCAGCACAATGAGCAGGTATAGCAGGAGTTCACAATAAGAAGCAAAGCTAGAGGTAATCACAGCGGGCAAGTGAGGAGGAGGAGGGACTGTGAGAGGAGAGAAGATGAGAGACGGCGGTTGAAGCTGCAGACACACGGGCAACAGGAGCTGCTGGCAGAGTGGCTACCGGGACAGTGCGCCCCGGACTACTGGAGTAACTGGCTCACAGGCTACGACGAGCTACAGGAGCAACGGACCCTCGGGCGACAGGCGCAGCAGACTCTCTGGGCTATCAGGACAGTGCGCCCCGGACTACAGGTGCTGCGGACGACAAGACAGCAGCCTCCGCTCAACCTCCTCCAACTGTCCCACACACCCTCCACACACCCACTGCTTCACTCCTAACTCCACTTGCACGTCACCCCCCTAGTACCACTCCTTCGGCTCCCACACACCCACCCCCCTCAGCGGCAGCTGCAGCACTGGGAGACGGAGGAGGAGGAGGAGTAGGGGACGACGCACAGAAACTGCACCCCCATACCCCCCACCCCCAAACCCTAATTCAGGAGAACGGGCAGCAGCAGGGGTGGGGCGCCGTCAGAAGCACGGGGAACAGCGGGCAGCGCAGGGGCAGAGAAAACAGGGCGCCCACGGGCCTGGCGCAGCCCGTACGAACCGCGTGCGGGCGGCCCGAGGCGCGCCCTGGCCTGGCGCAGTCCGTACGGGCCGCGCGCGGGCCTGGCGCTGCCCGTACGGGCCGCGCGCGGGCCTGGCGCAGCCCGTACGGGCCGCGCGCGGGCCTGGCGCAGCCCGTACGGGCCGCGCGCGGGCCTGGCGCAGCCCGTACGGGCCGCGCGCAGGCTGTACGGGCCGCGCGCGGGCCCTACGCAGGTCGCGCAGGCCGCGACGGGCGACGGGGGGCGACGCGCGGGTCCCCGTCGCCCGTCGCAGCGCCTCCCGGGAGCGACGCGCGGAGTGACGGGGCAGAAAGCCGCCGCGCGCCTCGGGGCGCACGGCGGGCAGAAAACCGCCGCACGCTCCGAGCGCGCGGCGGGATGAAAAATCCGTCGCACGCCACGGGGCGTGCAACACACAGAATAGCAGTAGCAGCGGAAGCAGTGAGGTGGTGGGCCCACCCACAGGATCGACCCAAGGGGATCGACCTGCTCTGATAGCATGTCAGAACCAGCAGTAGAAAGTAAGAATGAAGAAAGGAGGGGTTTCACAAGCTGTCCTCCCGTGCCGTTCCCTGCGTCTTCCTTGGCTTCCCCCCTGACGCACCTGGGTGGCAGTTCTACCACCCCACCTCGCGTCGTGTTCTGTCCTCTCAGGACGTCACGTTTGACGAGTCGGTGTCTTACTATCGTCTCTTTCCCGACTGCGCTGCCTCTCTCCCCCCCCCCCGCCACTCTTCCTAGTACCAGGTACTCCTCCGGTAGACCCCCTCCCCCCTCAGGGTCCTACCCCCTCAGGTGTGTCTCGGGTAGACCCTGCCGAGCCGGTCGAGGTAGCTGTCGACTCAGGTGCTGCTAGGGGTACTGAGCCTGCGGGTGCGGGGACTGGGGGTGCTGAGCCTGAGCGTGTGGAGCCTGGGGGTGCTGACTCTGGGGGTGCTGCGTCTTGGGGTGCTGAGCCTGCGTGTGCTGAGTCTGGAGGTTCTCCGGGTGTCCCGTTACGGCGGGAGCCCCTCTCTCCGCAGTGGCTTCGTGAGTGGTACACTCGACGCTGTCGCCGTGCTACTAGTGCTACTGTTGCTGGAGCCGCTGGTCCTGGAGGCGTTCGTACTGGCGGTACTGGAGCTGCTAGTGCTGGAGCTGCTGGAGGTGCTGCTGGTGCTGGAGCTGCTGGAGTTGCTGCTGGTGCTGGAGCTGCTGGAGGTGCTGCTGGTGCTGGAGCTGCTGGAGGTACTGCTGGTACTGGAGCTGCTAGAGGTGCAGCTGGTGCTGGAGCTGCTGGAGGTGCTGCTGGTGCTGGAGCTACTGGAGGTGCTGCTGGTGCTGGGGCTACTGGAGGTGCTGCTGGTGCTGGTGCTGCTAGAGGTGCTGCTGGTGCTGGAGCTGCTGGAGGTGCTGCTGGTGCTGGAGCTACTGGAGGTGCTGCTGGTGCTGGTGCTGCTGGAGGTGCTCCTGGTGCTGGAGCTGCTGGAGGAGGTACTGGTGCTGTCTCTGCTGTTTCTGGAGGCGCTGCGCGGCCGCGGCCGTACTACGTTCCGCTCCTTCAGCAGGTTCTTGGTCTACCGCCTTCTCCTGGTCCTCCTCCTCCGTTACTGAGTCCACCGCCTGTCCAGTCACAGTCGCCGTTACAGCCGTCCTCTCCGCTGCCTGGTCCTTCTCCTTACTATGGACCGACTAGAGGTCTTACGGAGCGTCGTGAGCCTGAGTCGCGTCCTGCGTCGCCTGTACGCACTGCTCGCGCTGGTCGTGTTTTGCGTCCGCGTCCTCCTCCTGTCCCTGGCACTCACTCTATGACACTGCGTCCTTCCACTGCTCCACAGCGTGTCCCTCTGCCCTCTCCTCCTGCGTCCTCTCTTCCTGACGGTCCGGACCCGGAGTCTGACTCCCTTCGTGCTGCTAGTCCTACTGTCACGCGCTTCCTGGCCACTGCTGTCACTGACCCTCTGTTTGAGTCCTCTGCTGCGTCTGCTCTCGTTGCTGAGCTTGTTGAATTTGCTGCAGCCTGTCGCCTAGACTACGCCACTAGTCTTGTTGCTGAGTCTGCGTCTGCGTCTGTCTGTCCTCCGTCCGTCGGGGGTGAGTGTGCTCTTGGCACGGACGTTCTTGAGGACAGACAGGAGGAGTTTGAGTGCTTTGCCGCTGCTGTACCTCATCTCGTGTCCATGCTGCTTGCCCCTGAGGGAGACCCGGATGCACCAGACATCCCGACCCCGCGCTCTTACGCAGAGGCGATAGAGGGTCCCTACTCCTCTCAGTGGCAGGCAGCCATGGACGCCGAGATGGCTTCCTGGAAGTCCACAGGCACCTACGTAGACGAGGTTCCCCCACCTGGGGCGAACATCGTCAGTGGCATGTGGATCTTCAGGGTGAAGCGGCCGCCGGGTTCTCCGCCTGCCTTCAGGGCGCGTTACGTTGCACGTGGCTTCAGTCAGCGACAGGGAGTTGACTTCTTCCAGACCTTCTCCCCTACCCCGAAGATGGCCACTCTTTGGGTACTTCTGCACGTAGCTGCTCAGCGTGACTACGAGCTCCACTCGCTTGACTTCAGCACAGCCTTCCTACAGGGCAGCCTGCACGAGGAGATCTGGCTACGCCGCCCACCTGGCTTCACTGGGTCGTTTCTTGCTGGTACCCAGTGGAGCCTCCGCCGGCCAGTCTACGGTCTCCGCCAGGCACCCCGTGAGTGGCTTGACACACTGAGGACCACTCTTGCTACTCTTGGTTTTGCTCCTTCCACTGCTGACCCTTCTCTGTTTCTATGCACTGACACCACTCTGCCGCCGTTCTACGTTCTCGTGTACGTAGACGACCTTGTCTTTGCTACTGCTGACACTGAGGCACTCGCCCACGTGAAGTCCGAGCTGCAGAAGAGACACACGTGCACCGACCTGGGGGAGCTGACAAGCTATCTTGGCTTGCGGATCACCCGGGACAGAGCACAGCGCACCATTACCTTGACTCAGTCACACATGGTGCAGCAGGTCCTTCAGCGCTTCGGCTTCACGTACTCCTCGCCACAGTCTACTCCTCTGCCTACCGGTCACTCGCTCTCAGCTCCACCTTCGGACGAGTCCGTAGAGCCGAGTGGCCCGTATCCAGAGCTTGTGGGCTGCCTCATGTACCTAATGACTTGCACACGACCTGACCTCGCATACCCTCTCAGCCTTCTGGCTCGTTACGTGGCTCCCGGTAGGCACCGAAAGATGCAC